ATAAATAAAAATCTTGTAAAGAATCCAAGAAATGGCACTGGACAAGTCTTTACTTTACTACAGATTGAGTACAATGACAATGTATACAACTTTGCAAAAAAGAACAGAAATTAAATTATTTTTGCAAAATTACCCATTCAGAGGCGGAAGACGAGCTACTGCCATTCTTCCATCCATTTCAGTTGATTTATGAAGCAGAAATCAATGTGTATTCGGCATTTATTTAGTTTATTTACATTCTGCAGATGAAATTATGGAAAATGGCGTCGTCGTCGGGGTAACAGAACAGTTAACGGTAGGACGTAATAGGTAAGATTTTTTAAGTCTATTATTTCTGTTAATTATTTTTTTCGTGTATCACATAACTTATCAAATTCAAATTAATGCGATCTAGTTGAACGTATAGTGAAAATAAGAAGACTTTCTAGAAATGATTATATTGCGACATCAAATACTTGACAGCCTGAAATCCATATTCAGATTGGCACTGACCAGTTCAACTCTCTAGAATTCATCGTTATTATGTCTATGAAACACGGGAACCACATTAAAAGATTTGATCTCATATATGACCCCATGATAACGAGACACCAAACAAACAAATATTTTTATTTGCCAGCCACGACGCACAGAGCAAGGATTTGTATACTAATAGTAAGACTACTATACAAATCCTTGCACAGAGTGAACAGAATAATTACAATCCTAATTGTAAAACAGAATGTGAAAAAAACGTTAATAAAGTTAGTAAACCTGTTGAAGTCATTATTTAGCTCACCTGGCCCGCAGGGTGCTGACCAAGTGTTGTTACTTTGAAGCCGATCCATCATCCAAGATGGCTGCCATAGAAGGACTTAGTTTAACATAGGACCCTATGGGAAAGACATACAAATGTCTTCTTTTAGAGAACCACTAAATGGAATGAAATAAAACATGGCATGAATGTTCCTTATGAGGTGCTGACCAAGTGTTGTAACTTTGTAGGCGATCAATCATCCAAGATGGCCACGAGCGGGGACTTAGTTTAACATAGGACCCTACGGAAATACATACAAAGGTTTTCTTTTAGAGAACCACCGAATGGAATGAACCCAAACATGGCATGAATGTTCCTAATGAGGTGCTGGCCAAGTGTCGTTACTTTGTAGCCAATCAATCATCCAAGATGGCTGCCAGCGGGGAACTTAGTTTAACATAGGAACCTATGGACAAATATACAAATGTCTTCTTTTAGAGAACCAGTGAATGGAATGAAATCAAACATGGTATGAATGTTTCTTTTGAGGTGCTGACCACGTGTTGTTACTTTGTAGCTGATTTGTCATCCAAGATGGCCACAAGCAGGGGACTTAGTTTAACATAAGACCATATGGGAAATACATACAAATGCTTCTTCTTGAGGAGCACTGAATGAAATGAAACCAAACATGAGATAAATGTTTCTTACGAGGTGCTGATGAAGACCTTAATACATGTATCTTTATAGATTGAGATATACTGTAAACTGCAAAAATATCAAGAAAAGAAGATCTACACATAAGTCAACATGAACAAAATTGTCAATTGACATCTTGTTGGAGTTATTGTCCTTATAAAGTCATTTTCTACTATTTCAATGTATTGATTGGTAGTTTCTGTAAACTATACAAAAGTCTTCTGCTTTTGATTAAATTACGGGGCCAATATTAAAGCAATCTAATTAAAATATAGATCTCGGATTTCGTTATACTACGTTATACTACATACGAATTTTAATTATTTTAATTAGATTGCTTTGTGTGGAGATCAGTTGCCATGACCCCGTTTTTTACAAATGTGGTGGTGTCGAGAAAAGCAATTTTCTCGCTTGAAAATTCAGATGTAAATTTAATTGAATGATGGAACTGATTACAATGATCTAAGAAATCTTGTAAATGTTCTGCAGTATCGTTCCATTTCATGTCAATATCATCAATAAAACGGAGCCATGACAAGGGTTTGTATGGCACACTCAAAAGGATGCGTTCTTCAAGATCCCCCATAAAAATGTTGGCAAAAGAAGGTGCCATTTTTGTTCCCATACTAGTTCCGTCAATCTGTAAAAAGTGCTTGTCGTTGAAAATAAAGTTGTTATTTTCAAGCACTAGCTTGAGCAATTGAACTAGACAGTCGGTTTGTGGATGTTTATACTTTCGAGTGTTCCATACTTTTTCACACGCGGCTATTCCTTCATCTTTTGAAATATTTGTGTATAAAGAACACACATCCATCGAAACCAACATTATGTAATTAGGCTAAGGACTTAAGGAATTCATTTTCTTCAAATAGTCAGTTGTATCTTGACTATGAGATGGCAGTTGTCTAACATTTGGTCTAAGGTGGTAATCAACAAATTCTGAATTTTTTTCGGTGGGATGGCCATTAGCTGATACTATAGGTCTCCTTGGAATCCCTTCTTTATGGAGTTTTGGAAGTAAGTAAAATCGACCGGCTGTGCAAGTTTCGTCTGGGCGTAGATAATCGTACGTATCGTCATCAATTTGTTTATCTTTATTCATTTCTGAGAGGACGTCATTATTTTTTTTGATGATTTCTTTGGTTGGATCACATGTTAATTCTTTATAAAATTTAGTGTTGGAGAGCTGACGATTCCCTTCTTCGATGGTAGTCTGCCTTGTTCATCACAACAACGGCACTTCCTTTGTCCGCTTGTTTGATAACAATGTCATCACGGTCTTTTAAGTTTATCATGGCTTGGCTTTCTGACTTTGAAATATTTCGCATTTGTTTACCACTGATTGAAGATCTGACTTCAGCTTTGACTGATGTAATAAATGATTCCAAATTATCGTTTTTGCTTTTAGGTGGATTCCATGTACTTTTCTTTTTAAATTTTGGGATGCATATGTCTCCTTCATCACTCTCATAATCAGATTCATTCATTCCGGCTTCTTTTAAATTTTTCTTCTGTTGTCTATGGAAATGTTCTTTCAAACGAAGACGCCTGGCAAATGCTTCTACATCTGTCTCAAGTTGTAAATTATTGACGGTTGCTGGAACTGGACAGAAATTAAGGCCTTTACTCAATAGTTTTTCTTCAGAGTCAGTTAGTTCTATTGATGACAGATTTACAACTAAATTATCTTGAACTGAGTGTTTCTGTTTTTTAAAACGTCTTTTTCTCGTTTGTTTTGATTTACTCTCTTTTAACATGTTTTAAAATTTGATCTTCTTCCAAAACGGAACTTTGCTGGTTTAAACGGTCTCGTTTGAATTTTAATTATATTAATTTAATACCAAACAGAAAACAATAAACTTGCGGAAAAGATGGTATACCGCAAGCATGAGGTGCAAAAATTTGTACACCATATCCGGATTTCGACAATTAATGTCTCTTCAGTGATGTTAGGAATCGAAACGGTATTTGGAAGGCCATATAATTTACCTCAATTTGGGATTGACTCTTGAAATTTGAAGAGTCGAAATAGGATGAACGGATCATATAAACCCGAAGGCAAATATAATTCAAGCCCAAACGAAAAAATATAAACAAGTCTAAATTGAAAATAACGTTCAAACCTATGATTGCGTTGGATAAAAACCGCAATTTTTATACGTGTGCATGCAAAACAAATTTCTTTGTAGAGGGGTCTAAATATAGCACAAACAACATTTTCCAAAAGACCAAAAAAGTGAAAAAGTATATTTTTACAAAACGCATTTGACTAGCAGGTCGAACAACGGATGTTCTTAAACCCTGCTGACTGCTATGGCGATTGCCAAATAAACGGATCACAGATGTAACACAATGGATCTTAATTATATTAATTTAATACCAAACAGAAAACAATAAACGACTTATATATATAGTGATAAATGCTGATTCATTTGTGTTGAGTTGTTGAAAATCTTATTTTTTTTTTATTTAAATCAGAGACATATATCTCTGTTTAAATTAAAAAAATCTTTTAGTTTGACTTTGAAATATTTGATGTCGCACGTTCTTAAGGGCATACGATACATTAGCAATGGCGGATAATAATGCATCCAAATTTAACGTGTTATTTTCGCAACCGGTTACTTAATTATGATATAATCATCCAAAATTCGCAGAAAATTCAAATCACGTCATCAAATCGGTCTATGTGGATTTGATAGTATATGCAAAGGAAAACGAACATTTACATGATTTAATCTCCCGAAATATACTGCGGAGGGCATAAACTTCTAGGCAAATGAAGACTGTTTACCTTCTATCATAAGTAAATTCATATATGATAGTAATTCGAATAAAACAAACTAGGTTTTCCGCCCGGCAATCTCAACGGCTAAAAAAATTTTAATGATTACATGGACCCTCAATTTTTCTTTTGCAATCGACTATGTACTACTTTGGGAATGTTTTATCTTTTATAGAAATTAGAAGAAACTCAAGGCAAACAATCAACGGTAGCTTATATATATATATTTATACATTTCTATTGGTAAATAAATGTCGACGGCTTTTTATTTCTCATAATTGTATGATTTCACAATTTTTTTTATCACAGTTATACTTAATCTTAGAAACTTTTTTTATAAAAATAATTTATTGAACACTTTGCTAAAAAAAAACAGACGAAAGTATGTCTTTTTTTCAGAGCTTTGGTTTTTTTTCGGAAAATGTTTTGAAAAATGAAAGTTTGCGTTTTTACATGAAACATGAAAATTTAAAACTTATTAAAAGTAAGTCACGAAGGTGTAGTTTTCTTTGTATATTTCGATTGTGCATATCAAAATTGACTTTAAGTCAAAATTGAAAGAAAAACAATCAAGGAGAGATCTTTTCTTTATCGTATGCTCTTAATCGTTCAATCAACCATGAAGATTGTTCTTTCGGTTGCGTTCTCAGTGAGGATATGAAACTGTTAAATAACAACATAAGATCATCGCATGTTTTAGAAGTTTTGATTGGACAAATAAAAATAGAAACCCAATTATGTATTAGATAACATACCTTAACTTAACCCAAATACACATCCGGGTAACTTATTAACTAGAAAAGAAGATGGCTGCGATAAGTGAATCGAGTTCCACTGAATCGCTGATTTCTAGTGTTCAGGAGTCAGTAGATCGTATAAAATCTTTATATCCAGCAGTTAATGAAGAAGAGACACCACTGCCTAAATGTTGGAGCCAAAAAGACAAATTTACTTGCATCGGATTATCTCAAAATAACCTTCGGGTTCACTACAAAGGTATCGACTTTTTGTTGACTTTACGAAATCAACGTAAATAAACAAAAGAAAACGTAATTTAGGAAGGTGTAAAATCACAACTTATTGAAAAAAGAGAATGGAAATATATTTAAAATTTTTGTTTTTGTTCTATCAAAGAAGTTATTATCTTTGTTTAAATAGAACTGTAGAAGGTAAATGAACAAAGAAAGTCCGAAGTTGTCAACATGATCAGCTGATCATCTGTTGAGAGTTCAGTGAAGCAATTAAACTCATCAATCTGATCAAAATATTCGATTTTCCCCTGTCTGTTCAGTGATTTATCTTATTTTCAAATAGTTATATCCTTTACCAGTTCATTATTGTTTAAAAAAAAAAAAGGAAAAATATGTAAACAATAAGTCTGATCTGCTTTCACTTCAATAGCCCCAGACTTAATATTATAATTTATGTAAATTCTAATTGTTCTCCTGATGTATTCTTTTATGACAATCGTTAAAGTTCATCATACCTTTAGCATGTTTTGTCTAATATGACAGTGTTTAACTTTACAGACTAAAATTTTTCCTAGATTTTAATGTCCATTTAATGTTTCAGATTAGTTATCAACTATTGAACTAACCTACATTGTAGGTATCCGGTCGTTCCGTCCCCAAACCGATCCGGCCCCAAGTCGATCCGGCCCAAAGTCGATCCGTCCCAAGTCGATCCGGCCCACGTCGATCCGTCCCTACGTCGATCCGGCCCCATAATAAAATATGAATAAACTATATTGACTTTGGAGGATTTTGTGACAAATTTTAACAGTATAAATGGAATTTGTAAAAAGTATCGTTGATGGATGACAACAGGTAAGTGAAGTATTGGAGTACCAGTCAAAGAATTATTTTACATCGATACGAAAATGAGTGTGATTGTGTCTGTTTGTATAGCAGCTTCAACATATTAATATTAAAGATTTGTATACAAATCCTTGTTAATATGAAGTTATTTTCCATGATAACTTTGAATGTCATGGCGATTTTATTTTATTTAATTCATACACAGAATAGCTAAATTAATATTTACAGTCCAATGGAACCTATAAAATTTAACTCATCATAATGACTTGTTTAATCAAATCATTAGTCTATAATTAAGGTCTTTCCACTCCGTTGGGAAAGACCTTATTGTTTTTCTAATGTTTTTTCTTTTTTTTTTCTCTTTTTTTTCTTCCAACATTTTTTTTTACATGACCGCCCCCCGTTTCTGTTGAAGTTATCAAGACCAAATATGGACCATCGATAGACCTCATCATGAAGTATTACCAGATGTCCCTGTTAAGGATTTCATCATCCCCTTTCGAAGTTATCTCACTTTTATTGGGTTTTTTCGACATGGCCCCCCGTCGTTGTTTTTAAAGATATCATGACTTTATGTAAACAATAGGTAGATCTCATCAAGATGTATTACCATATGAGGCTGCGTATGATTTCATCATCCCCTTTGAGAGTTATGTCCCCTTGAAGCAATTTCTTTTAGTTGCATTTTTCTTTAAAAGTATTAGAAATAGAATTGATTTGAAAATGGCAGCATATACAAGAACAGTTGGCAATGTTAATAAACATAAACAATTATTTTGTTATTTACCCTTATAAGGAGTTATTTCTCTTGAAAAATTATACACATTTTTTGAAAAATTCTGTTTCGAGAACCGGAAGTCGTAGAGACTTGGGACCTTCACCAATAATCTTTAATTCATGTGACCTTTAACTTACACCCAAGGACAAAGGTCACTGAGTGCAAAAAAAAAATTACGCTGCAATTTCAAGCTTACATATTAAGAAAACGTTAAGAGTTTGCTGCATACATACTGCGTATAAAATGTTCCTCTCGACGAGCTCTACATTGTATACATTAAGCTCAAAAATGTCCGACCGTCTGTTCAAAAGTTACATCAAGATAATTCTTAAAAGTAAATGAGTTGGATGGGGTTATTAAGTGCTAAAATAAAACTTTCTAGAACATGGCCTTGTCGCATATCAAATGAAAGATCATCAAGTCTACATTACATGTATCATACTTCCGATCTCGAAAATTAAGGCGGATGGGGTCATTAAGTGTAAAATGCGAAAAGTTTCAGAAGTTATGCTTGTCGTATATCAAATGAAAGGTCGTAAAAAGTACATTACGAAAACATCACTTTTACAGGAAAGACCTTTCAATTGTTTTACAAACAATTGAGATACTAGTTGGTTTAATTGTTTATTCAACAATTGTCTACTGATTGTAAACTAAGGTAATGCCACTCGTAATCACTTAATTCAATCAAATCCTGATTGATTAAAGTTACGTAATCAACAAGGTCTTTATAGTTTGATCTTTTGTTTGGTATTATGTCTTATAATAATTAATTGTATTTTTTTTCAGGTAACATCAAAGGCTTCTATAACACATGTTTTTTTTTGTAATATCGAATATAGTCAATATATTTTTTAAAGTTGACAATATTTTGAATAGTTGTATGTAGATAAAAAACAAGTTATATATGAGTATCCATTATTCTTTATTGCAAGATAATAACAAAATAGTTACACTGAATGCACATGTTCACTCTCTAAAATATAATATCAGCACTACTATAATATAACAATAAATTCATACACACTAACAAACACACTATCTCTGACACTCACATAAATATATATAACTCTTAAAGCATTTACACTAACAGTTACACTGTCACTTACATAATATAAAAGGGATCACACTTGCAGCACTACAATAACATATACAATAACTATCCGGGCATACGCAGTACATATATAATATATAGAACAACTAACAGCACTATAATTGTTCAATTTGATTAGCTCACCAAGAACAAACGCACTATATTATTCTAAACATAAAGAATACTTATTAAGCATTTAATAAATAAATGTTATATAAACATATAGATTGTAGCCACATATGCACTAACATAATACAAGTCATACAGTTCACTCAATGTCAATTAAATCACTCGCTGTCAGTGTCTTCTTCTGGTTCTGGGTCTGGCACATGAATGTCGTACATGTGTACGACGGCACGAAGGAAGAAGGAGGTGGTGATGGTACCGTCTTGAAGTTGCTCCCATAGTGAAGAGAGGCGTCCCTGTGACCGTTGATACTTGGTGCGTTACCAACGGGCAAGACTCTGTTCATCTACCAGACGCACTTGCCTCGAAACTGACCAATCTTCCTGTTTTATTTTGTTTATTTAATTCTATTTTCCCTAGATATTCCTAGAGAAGTTTTAAGAACTTAAAACAAAAACAAAGTTTGTATACATGTATCAGCTTGGGGATCGGCTTGTACCGTTGTGTATGTGACTTTTTGTTATTACACAGGATGAAAGACTTGTTAAGATCACAGTCAACTGATTGAAAGAAAATGCTAATTACTGCTGATTAATGTTGATGTCTGTTGATTGTACTAAATTCAATTATATACGTTTTTATTATAATTATACCCAATAAACTTGAAAACTTGTAATGAAAACATAATCAACATAGTTGTTTTAAACTCATCTAAAGAAAATATTTGTCAACGGCCTTTTTTTTTTTACCGTACACCTTTTACATTATAATAAAATTCATAAACATTTATGAATTACAATCAATATATATCTTTATTTTTATTCCTTATAAATATATTTTTTTATTGGGCCGGATCGACTTTAAATATGGGCCGGATCGACGTTGGGCCGGATCGACGTGGGCCGGATCGACTTGGGCCGGATCGACGTGGGGCCGGATCGACATGAAAGCACATTGTACAATGTTACATATATACATCCTAGTCCTTTGGTCTGGTGGGTATTTTTCTCATTGGCAATCATACCACACTTCAGTTAAGAAAATCCTTGAAATGTTCCCCCAGATAATAATTGTGTTTATTGTATTGATTGAGGACAATTGCTATCTGCATAACAATAGTTTTTTTAAACTGTGCAACTTAGTGGGCAGTTTCAACAATTTCTGGTATTTGTTTGCTTCATCATCTTCTGTGGGGATGAAAAAATGAATCTCAAGTAGGAAAGGTTTTTACTTACTCATCAAGAAAATATTTATTTTGTTCTGCACTTACTTTTTAACTTAGTTTCACTTGTAACACAAAATCCATGAAATTTGATACCCCAGGAACATATATATATTATATAAATTGCTTTGATTGCATCTGTATTGATTGTTCGATTGTGTGTATGATACAAAAATGTGCAAATTAGGCCCTTCCTGGTATTTGTTTTCTAGATTAAAAAAAGCTGTCATAAATGCTTTATGGTTTTCATGTAACTGTAATTGTTAAAAAAAACTTGCTAAAAATTAATACGTATCTTGCAATATTTTGCTGATTTTTGTTTAGAAATGATCAGAAGACTCACCAAATCTGAATCAACATGATCAAAGTGAATAGATAGAAAATGCTGTTTGTTTGACATGTTTGGAAATTCGAAACTATGGTTTATCATTTCTTTCTTACATTTACTTGTACATTATAATTATTATTCAGATATGGTAATAAATATGCTGATTCTTAAAATCAACTTATGACCATATTTTTGTCCTTTTTAAAATGTATGATTTTTCAATTTACTTTTTGTCTTAAATTGTGTTCACAATTCACCACATTTGAGTGTTGATTTTCTACATTTTTAATTTGATTTTCAAAGGGATAGGAAAAGCTGCCAAAGATGCTGCCAGTGTGAGAGCAACACATCCAATACCTGCATCATGTGGGATATATTATTTTGAAATCAAGATCATCAGTAAAGGCAGGGATGGGTAAGTTATCAAAATAAGAAATGAGATTTATCCAAAGACCAACTGTCTTAATTTGCTTTGTCATGGACACAATATTTTTGTTGCAGTCAAAATTGTTTAATACATTTTTCACAATGAAGTTAATTTAGGAGAGTCCTTTATGATACCACATTTTTGGAATGAAAAATCCTCATTTTCACACACTGTCACATCTTCTGAAGTTTCCATTTGTCATGTGTGTATGTTTAATATCCTTGACCAAAATTTCATGGTTCAGCAACTGCTTAAAAACTGTATAGTTGAAAATCTCAAGAAAAATCAGTTATTTAGAATTAATATGAAGGACAAATTTGATTGATAGAAAGAATCATTGGAAGGCCCTAGACCACTTGACCAACTAGGCTATATAAAATATAGCTTTCAATAGTAGAGTAATGCCCTACCTCGTCGGGAGCTGTACACAGTGCAGGATGTGTTGCCACAATGTCTAAGATGCAGGGATTCAAATCCTGCTGAGGGAATACCAAAAATTAGCTAACGCAAATTTGCACATCTAACATTGTTGGGCTAAATTTAAGACGAAGTAAACATAAATTATTGTGTTAGCCACGTATAACCACAGGTTATCCCATGGAGAATGTCCGTCGAAAAGTTGTCACATATTTATCCCATGGAGAATGTCCGTCGAAAAGTTGTCACATATTTAGACCTATATAATGTGATGGCATGGTAAGTCATCCTTTACAACAGACAAAAACAGCTCATCTGCAAGGTATACCATCAACTTGCAACTATTCATCATGTACTGTGTTACAACCCTAGATAAAGCTGAAGAGGGAAAGGCATTACTCGACTAATGAAAGCTATATTTTTATATAGCCTAATTGGTCGAGTGGCCTAGGGCCAGGGTTGGCAAAGTATTACCCGGGTGGAAAAACCTGGGTTCAGGTTTTCCCGGGCTAGGCAATACTAACAGAAACAGGTAATACTGGGCAATATAATTTTTCAGCCTTTTTTATACACAGAATAGTAAAGACTTGTTGCAGATTCATAGTATTATAGCTAAATATTTACATTTTATTAAGATAACCATTCAAAGTCATTTCTAGAAGATTGAAAATTCAATTACTTCCTTTCTCCACTATAAATTCTATGAAGGCAGAATACAAGTTTTGCACATTTTTGGATACCTTGTTAATTTCCAAGCTTTGTTTCAATAATCCAAACTTTGAAAAAATCATTTTATTGCAGTTTTTAAGTGAATTGTAAATTTTAATTGTTATGCAATCATATTGCTAAATAAAAACCATTAGGGGACATGTCATGAACACTTATAGAAATGTAAAGGCTGATTATTGTTATATAAACAAATCTGTGTTATAATCTGACTAATTACTTATTAATTAGTGATGTACATATAAATATGCTAAAATTTAGTAAACATTTTTAGCAATGAACTAAAATTGTTTAAAAGTTATTTTCCTTATATATAATTGTTCATTCTTTAAAAATATTAGTTAAATTTATATTTAAACAAAAACCAAAATGAATTCTTTGGATTTATGTTAACAGTTTGACTAATTTAGACAGAATGGCAAATTAATAGTTTATTAGGAGGATTATTGAGAAAAGCTTTTCACATTTGTCTTATAAATTTGTCTTGATGTACACTTGTCATAGAGTTGCTGGAACGATACTTTCTTACATTTATACACTTTATAATAAGAGTCTCAAAACAAGTGAACTTATAAATTAGAATACTGTCTTATTTTTATACGACCGCAAATCGTATATTGGTATGACGTTGGCATCGTCGTTGTTGAAGACACATAGGTTTTCACACAATAACTTAAGTTTAAGTGAATGGATCTCTATGAAATTTTACCATAAGGTTTAATACCACAAAAGGAAGGTTGGGATTGATTTTGGGGGTTATGGTACAAACAGTTAAGGAATTAGGGGCCAAAAATAAGCATTTTTGTAACTTCCAGACAATAACTAATGTGTTAGTGTATGGATCTCTCTGACATTGTACCACAAGGTTCCATATCACAAAGGGAATGCTTGGATTGATTTTGGGGGTAATTGCCTCAAAATTTTAGGAATTAGGGCAGAAAAAGGGGCAAAAAACAAGCATTTTTCTAGTTTCCTGACAATAACTTGTGTGTAAGTGTATGGATCTTTCTGAAATTGTACTACAAGGTTCCATATCACAAATGGAAAGCTGGAATTGAGTTTGGGGGTAATTGCCCAAAACGTTAAGGAATAAGGGGCCAAAAATAAGCATTTTTCTAGTTTCCAGACAATAACTTGTGTTCAAGTGTATGGATCTCTCTGAAATTGTACTGCAAGGTACCATACCACAAAGGGAAGGCTGGGATTGATTTTGGGGGTAATTGCCCTAAATGTTTAGGAATTTTTTCCTTTTTTTCCTTTTTCTTTTTCTTTAAAACTTTCCATTTTAAGTTGGTTATTTTTTATTTACATATAAAAGCAAATAATAATGATATGGTTTGATTTCATCAAAAATTGAAATATTGGGGTTCTTTGATATGCTGAATCTAACCGTGTATTTAGATTCTTAATTTTTGGTCCCGTTTTCAAATTGGTCTACATTATAAAGTCCAAAGGGTCTAAAATTAAACTAAATTTGATTTTAACAAAAATTGAATTCTTGGGGTTCTTTGATATGCTGAATCTAACCGTGTATGTATTTAGATTTTGGATATTGGAACATAATAGGTAAATTAAAAATTTTTAAGTTCTTAGACCACATTCATTCTGTGTCAGAAACCTATGCTGTGTCAAATATTTAATCACAATCCAAATTCAGAGCTGCATCAAGCTTGAGTGTTGTGTCCATACTTGCCCCAACTGTTCAGGGTTCGACCTCTGCGGTTGTATCAAGCTGCGCCCAGCGGAACATTTTATTATAGATATCTTTAATGTATTTGATTTGTGATTAATCAGTGATTAATAATCATTGAATCCTCGTTGAATACAGGCCAGTATTTCATATTACCCAGTATTGCCCAGTAGTACCTGGTAAAACAGTGGGCTAGGCAATACTCATAAAACCCGGGTTTTTGCCAACCCTGCCTAGGGCACTGGACGGGCCATGATGTTTCAGATGCAAGGGTTCGAATCCCGCTAAGGGAAGAACGTAGATTCGCAGATCTTACATTATTGGGCTTCATTTGAGATGAGACATATATATATGTAATTTGAGGTAATCGTTTGTTATCCAGTGCAGATCAGATGTAATTTAGTATGACCAGTGTTCTCCATAGGGCCCTTCAGCATCATGGTAATGTGATATATATATTGTTTACTATCTGAAATGATTTTCGTATAGCTTGTGTTAGGGATATATGATACTATAATAACGAGAAAGAAAATGGTATTTTAAAGTGCAATAAGAAATTTGTAGGGAGAACACTACAGCCCCTCTACATGTATATATATACATGTATAATAATTTTCTTTTTACTATTTGTAAACCATCATTCATTAAGCTAAATGATGCAATGAAAATATGATGTTTGTAGATAAATTTATTGAAAATAATGACAAATTATTGATTAATGTGTATATTATGACTAACAGGGGATTTTCATAGATGAATTGTTGAAACTCATCTAGTTTACAAAATCATTAATGAAAATATTTTTGAAATCTAGATACATGACTTAGATAATGTTAGATACATGACTTAGATACATGACTTAGATAATGTTAGATACATGACTTAGATACATGACTTAGATAATGTTAGATACATGACTTAGACAATGTTAGATACATGACTTAGATACATGACTTAGACAATGTTAGATACATGACTTAGATACATGACTTAGACAATGTTAGATACATGACTTAGACAATGTTAGATACAGGATTTGTTTTATTAGTTGTTATTGGCTTTGAACTAGCTGCCAGTAACTGAGAGTACTCTCAGATCTGTACTTAGTGTCTTTTTGTTGTGTGGATGTATAAGTACCCGTCCACGTCCACTCTTTGTTTTTGTTAGATGTATTTCTATTTGTATCCATCTGATGAGTTAAGCCTTTTTAACTGATTTTTATACGACCGCAAGCAAATTTTTGTGGTCGTATATTGGTATGACATTGGCGTCGTCGTCGTCCAAAGACACATTAGTTTTCGCACTCTAACTTTAGTTTAAGTGAATGGATCTCAATGAAATTTTACCATAAGGTTCAATACCATAAAAGGAAGGCAGGGATTGATTTTAGGGGTTATTGGACCAACAGTTTAGGAATTAAGGGCCAAAAAGGGGCCAAAAACTAGCATTTTTATACGCTGCAAATTTTTGACGGGACATATTACCGGTATGGTATACAAATGTCCGGCGTCCGTCTGTCTGTCTGTCCGTTTGTCTGTCTGTCTGTCCGTCTGTCCATCTGTCTGTCTGGCGTAAACATGTTGCACCGTAACTTGAGAATGACTTATCCAAATTACATGAAACTTAAATAGTTGTTTCTTATGATGGTCAAACGATCTGTATACTTTTTGGTGAAAATAATATTAAAACTTTTTGAGTTACGGGACTTAGTAACTAAAACAGGTGTGTGTTTTTTTTCACATGTCGCGCCGTATCTCAAAAACAATTTATGATTATTGCTTAAAACTTTACACACTTCTTAGTAATATTAATCTTAAGATCTGTATACTTTTTGGTGATGATTCAAAATTTAATTTTAGAGATATTGAGTATTTTGTTAAAAAAGGGGGAGGGGTTTTTCACATGTCGCGCCTTATCTCAAAAACGATTTATGATTATTGCTTAAAATTTTACACACTTCTTAGTTATATTATTCTAAAGATCTGTATACTTTTTGGTTTTGATTCAAAATTTTATTTTTGAGATATTGATTATTTTTTTTTTTTAAGGGGGGGTTTTCACATGTCGCGCCGTATCTCAAAAACGATTTATGATTATTGCATAAAAATTCACACACAAGACGACGGGCGTATCATGCACTCATGGCGCAGCTGTT